GTGCACCTGCGCCATGCGCTTTAGACCATGTGCTTAGATCGTTAAAATAGGGCCCATAGTGTTGTGCTGGCATTTCACGTGTATATTCTCCAATTGTAAATGTTAGAAAGTCATGGACATATTTATGTTTTGCTGTCAGGAATGGATAAGCCTTCTGCATGCGAGTCTCCCCTGAACATCATAAACTTCAGTGAACAAACAGATGGAGCAAAATAGGAGCACAATAATTCTGACTAAAATACACATACATTTTGCTAAAATATTTGCTGTTGAACAATAAATGTGCCATATGTAGAATTTCAAACCTGCAAATCAGTGTAGGCCTATTTTTATGATAGCAGTACCTGTAAAGTGATTAGTGTAATGGGGTAATCAAAATATAGGCTAATGCAGTTTTGTGCTTTTGTTTTTATTCGTATTCATTTTAGTTTAGTGAATTAAATCAGGGCTGAGTGCCAACTTTCATGTTTTCAGCGTGAGACTCGGGCAGCTAACACTGTTCTCATGCTCTCATGCCACGTGTCCATTTTCTCATGCATTGAAAAGCGTCCTCAAATGAAAGCAAGAACATCCTTACTTTAAACTGTAATAATTGGCGAAACAGATTTGACAACCTCCAGTGCGTATTAGTGTTTGCGCTCTGGAGAGCGTCAAAAGTTTCACAGACATATCTGGTGATTTCTTTGATTGCGTAACACTTTTTTTCTTCTCATTGTAATCCGAATCAGAATCACGCTCGTGAATCCTCTCATTGTAATGAAAAGTATGAACAATTTAAATAAGAGATTCATCGTGTAGTGTAGAGAGCTTCATTGATTTGTACAGAACTTTAAATCGAAAATTGATTTGAACAGAACTGAGATCGTGATGAAATTAAGTGAGTGACTTTTTTTAGTGGTTATAAAGGGAAGGAACGCTCTTAGCGCTCTCTGGACTACATATAGGCCAAATTCACTCAGAATCTGAATAAAAGTTTTGTTTTTCAAACATTTCAGGATGTTTTCATTTGTGTTAGTACAATACACAAAATCACAAAGTATCCTTTTCACTAAACAAAAAAATGGTTTCATCATTTCATTTTCAATAACTGCCTTTTATAATGCTGTTGAACTCAGATATTGGCAGCCCTGGTGAATTTAGCTTCTGATTTAAAAAGCATTGTTTTTGTTTTTAGATTGTAAAGTTATGATATTTAAAATGTCATGTGATTTTATCCTCTTTTTTGCACATAATATAGCATAGCCTTAGGGCTGGACAATAATTCAATATCAATATGTATCGCGATATAATTTTTTTCAATAACGGAATAGTGGTCATATCGATATCGGAATTATATCGTATCGACCGAAATTAAGAAATATATCGTGATATCAATTGTGGCCATATCGTCCAGCCCTACATAGCCTACATGTTTACACATTCACACATACACATTTTTATTGTCAGAGCCTTTAATATAAACTTAAATTTATAATTTATAATATATTAGTTATACAACATTGGGCAGGATGTTAAAAACAACAACAACATTTTTGTTGTTCATTTCATCACAATTCGGCCAAAAAAATATAGAGATATGATTTTTTGGCAATATCGCCCAGCCACAAACTGTCAGAAGGAAGTATGTCACTCCCCCACTTTGCTTCCTGTCCTATACTAATAAAGTCAAAAAATACGAAAAATAAATCTTAAAAAAAGAACAGTGCTGGTACCACAAGCGCTAGCATCAACTAAAAGGAGAAAATGTTTCTCAAAATTAGGAGTAATTAGCACAAGAGCATTTGATAATAAAGCTTTAGCATTTTCGAAGGCAAACTTTCTGACCATTTAAAGGCCTCTTTGAGAAAGCTAAAGAAGGCCACTCGCAAAATCCTGACAAAATCCTCAATAGTACTTCACCATCCCTAGAAGTCAATACAGTTCAAGATGAGATTGTGTACAGATAGCATCCATTTTAGCATTGATGGGTCTTACAGAACACAGCCCAATTATGTCACAGTGGCTTTTCCAAATTAGCGCTTAGCAAGATTAATAGTCAGATTTGAAAAAAGATCTCTAATTTAGTCAAGATGTTCAGACCAGGAAAAACTATACAGAACAACATTGTCCAAGTAAGTATCACATCCTGTCTTTTAAAGAACTAAAATTGGGTTCTGCTAAATTATGAGTAAGTAGATAATCCACCTCTCTAAGCAATTCCTTTTTCACGGGATACACTCAACAGGCATGCTGTTTTACCAGTTGGGCCATACCAACATCAAAGTCACGTTCAGTGACATGAGTTCAGGTAGGGACATCAGAGAAGAGAGAGGGGAATGAGCTTACCATCTCAACTATCAGCCTTTGTAACTTAAGAGAAGTATCAAGACATGAAGTTCGAGCCCTGATCAGACAGAATTGATTTTGGAATGCCAAAAACAGACATAAAATTAAGGCCTTTGAAATCAATTTAATTGTAATCAGTCTCAGAGGGTAAGCTGCAGGGTAGCATGTGCACTAACACATTACCGTGAGTAACATGTACAGCCTTTGATTGTGGTAAAGGACCAGCACAATAGAGTCACATGTTCAAAACAAGTTAATTATCAGGTTGAATTATCATATTTACTCACTACAATTATGAGTAAGCAGATAATCCACCTTCTTAAGCAATTCCCTTTTTATAGGATTTACTCGAAAGGCATGCGGTTTTACAGGTTGGGTCACAGTCACACCTAGTGTTGTTTTTGGCGGCCTGTTTTAATTTTAGTTTTAGTCTAGTCTTTGTGTGAAGCTGTAATTTTAGTTTTTATTAGTTTTAGTCACGTTCATACTCTTTTTAGTCTAGTCAAGTTTTAGTCAACTAAAAGTCTGAGCATTTTAGTCTTATTTTAGTCAGAATTATCCATGACTATTTTCGTCTAGTTTTAGTCGACGAAAACTGATGACATTTAGTCTAGTTTTAGTCAATGAAAATTGTATTTTAGTCTCTTTTTAGAAATGCAATTCTATTTAACCCAGTCAATATAGTTTAAGTACCTAGTAGTATAGACGAAACCACAATTTTCTTTTAGCCAAACCCATTTCAAACAAGGTTATCTTATTATATTATTGTTACCTTATAGACTCAAGAATACATCCATTCCAGACACGGAAGACGCTCTGATTTGAATTTACAACATTTATTTTACCAACCAAACATGTTAGAAGTACACACACATAAATTTAAATAAAGACGAACCCCGGCTGGCCGGCCATCGGTCCCTTTCTCTATGTCAGACTTAACTTTGTTTGGTTTTCATCTTCTAAATCACTGTTTCCCAACCTTTCTTTAGTCGCGGAAGTTTGGAACTTCCAACACCCTTTGGAAGTTTTAACAAATTTGTGGCACCCTACAAAATTAATTTTGTCACAATATTAGAATTTCTAACTTCGATGTGATAATTTGAAAAGTATAGATATTCGGTACAACAGGGAAGAACTGCAGAATATAATGTCATACAGATATTTT